CATTGTGGCCATCTGGGGAGTGAACCAGCGGATGGAGGACCTCTCTCTCTCTCTCTCTCTCTCTCTCTCTCTCTCTCGCTGTCACCCTGCCTTTCACCCAGGGACCCCCCGACCGCCCCCTGCAGCCCCGTCCCCGCCCTCTCCGTGGGTGGCTCTGCTCCTGGTGGGCGAGGGCTGTGTGTCGGGAAGCCCCCACCCCATGACGCCAACCCCGGCCCTGGGGGTGGGGGTTCCAGCCTGTGCTGCCCCTCCCTGGACAGTGCCCCCGCAGGACAGCCGGGACTCCCCCGGGGACGCCCCTGACCACAGCCCCCCCCCCACGCCGGGCGCCCTAGGACCGATGCAGCCGTCTGAGGGCCGCCGAGACGTGGGGACCCCGGGCCCCCTCCCAGATCCGGCCCTCTGTTCCCCACCTCTTCTTCGGAGCCGGGACTCCATGCTGCCAGGGGAAGTGGGCGGGTCCCTGGGGGAGGGGTCTCGCTGCTCTTGGCTCCGCCCCTTTCTGCTCTCTGCCTCAGTTTTCCTAGAGCCCGCTCTGCGTTTTCCTTTAGCGCCGGGGTGGGGCGGTCTTCCCATGAGTCATGTGGGCTACTCCGCGCCTCCTGCATCCACCGCGAGCATTTATCCAGCGCCGAGGGAATGCAGCGAGGCCCGGCCGCGAGTCCCCTCGCCGCGGCTCCGAGGCCTCCCAGGCATGAGGAGCCGGAGCAGGCGTGGACCCCGGCGCGCGGGGACTCTCCCGGAAGCAGGTGTTTTCCGTCCGTGTCCGCTGACATTTCCGCGATAAGGCCCTGGGCTCAGCGCCCTTGGCCTTGGGAGGGAGAGGAAGGCAGGCAGGGGCAGGAAGGGGTTAACGCTTCCTCCAGGAGGGGGCCCCCCCCAGTGAGCTCAGAGCCCCCTTCATCCTCAAGGAATCCATGGCAGCCTGAGCCCCGCCCCCAGGGGGAGGGGCGGGGGGAGGGGTCCACTGCACACCCCACGTGGACAAGCACGCGGGGGCCCCTCTGCTGCGGGTGTCCCCGCGTAGCCCCCGTAACCGGCTCTACCCGGGTCTCTCCTGCTTCCTTTCTGGGGCTCGTGGGCACCCGGCCTCAGGGCCTTTGCACAGACTGCACCAAATCCACCCGCTGTGTGTCAGAGCCCTGCCCCCCGGGCCAGCGCTGTGGTGCCGGCTGCTCCGCTTCTGATCCAGCTCCCTGCTAATGCAGGCCCTGGCTCTGTGCACCCCTGCTGGGCCTGGGGGAGTCGGGGGCCCGAGCAAAGCTGGACACAGACCCCGGTGTCCCGGGACAGGGCAGGGGTCGGGATTGGCCGAGTTGCTGGGAGGGCTTCCTGGAGGAGGAGGAGGTCGTGGGGCTGGTTTGCCAGGCCACACAGCCAAGGGGGGGCACCCAGAGGCCTGCAGTGGGCGCTGGCCAGAGGGGGCTCCCGGGAGTCCAGCCTGGGCTGGGGGCCGGGGGCAGGGGTGTCCCGCGGCGGAGGGAGGCAGGAGGCGCCATGGCTGAGGCACCCTGCCGCGCGAGAACACCCGGTGCCCGGCGGCCCCCGCGGGGGGAACGCGGCCCCCGGAGCCCCCCTCGGAGCTCTCTGTTCCCACAGCTGTTCCCGCGAGGCCCCAGACGGCGCGTGGGAGGGGGTGGGCGGCCGGCAGCCAGAGCCGGGGAGCTTCCCGGCGGGGCCGGGCCTCCCTGGCGGAGGGCTCGCCACGTCCCGGCGCGCTCTGCCCGGGATAAGACCCCCCCCTACGTGGCTCCCGAGAAGGGAACCGATGCACCTGCCGTCATCACCCCGTGGGGTCCTGCCCGGCCTCAGCCCCCACCCCACCGCCTGCAGGGTCCCCCAGATTCCTCCAACACACCCCGCTTCCCCGCCCCCACCCCAGGACCTTCGCACAGGCCCGCGGCCCAGCGCATGGTGGCACTCACGCCTGTTCCAGCCAGCAGGGCCGGGGGAGCCCCCCAAGAATGCACAGCCGCGCTGCAGGGAGCCCGGCTCTCTCTCTCTCTCTGAGGACCCCCGCACAGCCCCTCTCCCATGGAAAACACACCTTCCAGCCAGGCCGCCCCAGCCCGGGACCCCCGCCCCCGCCCCCGCCGCCCTCCCCGGGGTGGCCGCCATTCCTCCGCCCCACTTTCTGTCCTCCCCCTGGACGTCGGCCGAGACTTCAAGGACAACGCGGCCAAAAATAATCGGGCCCCAACCTCCCTCCCGGAAATGGGGCGGCCCCGCCCAGCCACCTGGTAATTAGCGCACGTGGCCAATTAGGGTAATTAGGTCTGGGGCAACGGAACCTGGGGTCCAGTCTGGATGGTTCCAGCCCCTGCTGCCTTCCACCCCGCCCCCCACCCCGGACCTGGGGTCCTCAACCCAGGGCTGGGCCCCCACCTGCCTGTTAACCCCTTCCGGCCTGGGCCAGAAGGAATGGAGTGACTTCGCTTTGGCCTGAGTCAGAGGTCAAGTTCTGAACTTGAGGCAGGGTCTCCGGCGGCTGTGCCCCCGAGGCATCACACTCTCGCTCGCCCTTGACCCCCAGGCGTCCAGCCAGTGCTGGGAGGACACGGGTTTGTCTCAGCTCTCGAGGTGCACTCAGGCCCGGGGGGGAGTCAGAGGTGGACACAGAGGTGAGGCTTTGAGGAGTGAATAGGAGTTTGCCAAGCGCTTAAAGTCTGGAAGCTGGACCAAATTGCTATGGCCGGGGGAGGGGGGACAGGGGAAAGAAAGGGGCAAGTGGGGGCCAGCACGGTGGCCCAGCCTCTCATACGAACACCGGGTTCGAGTCCTGGCTGCCCCACTTCTGATCCAGCTCCTGCTGATGCACCTGGGGAAGCAGTAGAAGATGGCTGGAGTCCTTGGGCCCCTGCACCCACATGGGAGCCCTGAGGGAGCTCCTGGCTTCAGCCCGGCCCGGCCCTGGTGTTGTGGTGGGGGCCCGAGTACCTGAGCCGGTGCCACCTGCTGCCCCCAGGGGGCTTGGCAGACACTGGGGCTCCTCTCTCTCTGAAAGCCTGCGTGGTGTCTGCTGCAGGTCCGGCTTGATCCAGGAGCAGGACAGAGCCACGCGGGAGGTGAACGGGAGCTGAACCCTGGCACGGACAGGCGCGGGACCCGGGAGGCTGGGCCCCTGCTTGGGCCGAAGGGAGCGCTCCAGGGAGGAGCAGAAGCCCCTCCCCAGACCCTCGGACCAGAGACATTAAAACAGGGGAGGGCTCTGGCTGGGGTGGGGGTGGGGCAGAGGCTCGGGGCAGCCCTTTCTCCTGTCTCCACCACTGGGGGACAGCCGGGTCTACACCACCTCCTCCCCTCCCCACCGCTCATTCCGGCCCTGCCAGCATCCACCCATTTCCCAGGGGTGAAAACTGAGGTCCACACCCAGGGAACCACGCCCACCCCCTCAAGCCCGGCTGTGACGGCTTCAGGTCAGGGCTGCTCAAGGCCAACCGGGTGCCAGCCCCTCCCAGAAGCTGGGAATGGGGTTCAGTGCAGCCACTCGGTGCTCGCTCACTCTCCCTCTCTCCCTCTCTCGCACACACAGACACCATTGCTTTCTGCCTACGCTAGGAACAAAGTCAGCTTGGGCCCCTGCCCAGCTGCTCTCCCCTCCCCCGCCCTGATACCCACGTGGGCAGCCGGCCCAGCACTCGGCACACCCGGGGTGGCTTCCAGGAGCCCCGGGCTTGCCAGAAACCGATTTAGTTATTAAAAAAAAAAAAATGATTTTGCTGGGCCTAAGGAAAGGTCGGTCTGTGGACAGAACAGACCCCGCTCCCGTGTTCCCGAGAGTTTGTGCCTCGGGCCCTCGGCTGGTGCAGCAGCAGCTGGGCCACCCCCGGAGGAGGGGCCCACGCGGGGTCACAAGGCGCTCGGGACGGTACGGAGGCCCCTGGGAAGCAATGGGGCCGTCGGGGGAGAGTCTCTTTCAAGCCTGGGAGAACCAAGGGAGGCTTCCTGGAGGAGGCGGACCACAGCGGAGCTGAGCCTCGGAGCCCAGGAACGGAGCGCGTCCGGGGTGGGGAGGCGTGGAGGCGGCCGGACCCTGGATCCACCCAACGTTCATTCGTGAAAGGTGGCCACCGGCTGCGCTGGGGGATTCTGGGTAGCGAGACACACGGGTGCCGGGGGCTGGGGGGGGGAGCCCCTGAGGCTGTGGGAAGATTCGGGGGTGGGGCCCAGAGCCCCGGGGACCCTTGGGCTGAGTTGTTGCAGGACCTGAACCCATGAACCCAAAACAGTGGCAGGAGGGGGGCATCCGGAGAAAGTCCCAGAGAAAGGCGTGTTGGGGGGGGAGGGGCAGGCCCTGCCCCCAGCAGCGTGGCCAGCGTGGGTCACTCCACCTGCGGGCCTGGGGTCCTCTCGGGGAGACCCAGGGGCCCAGGCAGGCAGCCCTGCCCCACCCACGTCTCCTCTTTTCGGTGGTAACCCCTATGGAGCACCTACTGTTTGCATCTCCTGGGCGCAGAATCCGCACCCAGCTCCTGAGCCCCGCCCGGCTGCCCCCCCAGCCCAGGCCCGAGGGCGAGAGCCCCCCACCCCCCTCCAGCTCTGCGCATCCGCCTCCTGTCCCTGTCCGGACGTCCGTCTCCGTCCGTCTCTCCATCCCCACCCCTCCCCCGCCCCCTCCCCCGCCCGCCGTCGGGGGCCAGCAGGGGGCGCAGCGGGGCGGCCTCGGCGGCCCGGGGAGGCGGGGCGGGCGGCGGCCGCGTCGGGACCGGCCGCGATGGGACCGGAGGCGGCGCGGACGGCGGCGGCGCAGACAAAGGCGCGGGCGGCGCGTTGGGCGGCGCGGAGGGCGCGGGCCCCGGAGGCTGGGAGCGAGCGGGGCGCAGACCCGGCAGGGTGAGCCCGGCCGGCCGATCCTGCGCCCGGAGCGCGGGGGGCCTCGGAGTCCCCGGGCCCGGGCGGAGGTTGGGGGGAGGGGGGAAGCCGCGGGGCGATCCCCAAGTTCCGGACCTGGGGACTGGGGCGGGGGGCGGCGCGAGGGGGCGGTCCCCGAAGTTCTAGATCTGGGCTTGGAGAGGCGGCCGAGGCGGGGGAGGGTCCCCGAAGTTCCGAAGTCGGGGGCCGGGAGGGGACGGCTGGGCACGCGAGGTGCCCGACGTTCCGCACCCGGCGTCGGAGGAGGCTGCGCGCGCGGGGTGGGGGGATCCCCGACTTTCCGAGGTCCGCGTCAGCAGGGTGTCCCCGAAGTTCCGCGCCGGGCGGTGGGGGTGGCAGGGAAGGTGGCCCCCGGAGTCGCGGACCTGGGGCTCTCGCGGGGATCTCCGACGTCCCGAGGTGGGGGCGCGCCCGGGGTGTCCCCTACCCCCGGCGGATGAGTCCGGGGCGCATAGGGTGTGGGGCCTCTGCCCCGGGCCCCCGGGAGGTGGCGAACCCCCACCCCCACCCCGCGGCGGGAGCCCGGGCGCGCTCGGCGGCGTCCTGGACGCGTGACCCGTGGGTGAGTAACTTGTCCCAACGCCCCAGTCTCGGCGGGGGCGGGCCCGGGGCCGGAAGGGCACCTCTGCGCCCCCCTAATCCTGCCGCGCCCGGGACCCGCCCCTGGCCGCCGCTCCCCCTGCCGGTGGGGAGGGGCTCCGTGTTCTGAGCCTCGGACCCCCCCCCCCCCCACAGCAGCCTGTGGGAAGGGGCATCGCGGCCTCTGATCTCGGAGGTCCCCCGCAGGTGCAGGTCTGGGGGTCCTGGGGGCAGCTTCCTGGGGGTGGCGGCTAAGGGAAGCAACAGGGAGACTGGGGGACCCTCTTCTGCCCCCTCCTGGATCCTGCCCTGCCCCCACCCTGGAGGGCACCTGCGTTGGATGGGGGGGTGGGTCCCTGGGGATTTGGACTCTGTCTTTAAGGTGCGCCGGTGCCCCAGGGTGACTGCGGGGGGGGGAGGGGTACTCTCTGGGAGTTCGGTCGGGAGCTGGTCTCCGGGCACCTGGCAGCGCCCCACATTTTGGCGGAAGGGCCCTGGTTTGGAGACGGATGGGTGCTGGCAGGTCGGGAGCATAGCCCCAGGATGGAGGGGGGACTGTGGGGGGGGTCTGGTACCCAGGGCCAGGTTGGGATGTCAGGAGTCCCCGAGCACCGGGTTTTGTGGGCGCTGCCCCCGGACAGGGGAGGATGGGACCCCTTTGCTCCCGTTCTGCACTTTCCTGGTTGAAGGTCTGTGCACCTGCTGGTGGCTCGCCTCACCCTGGCACAGGGGGCACTCAGAGGCCCCTCCCCTCTCTACAGGGGCCAAACCAGCAGCTCCGGCCACCCAGCCCGGTCTGACCAATGTCCACAGCCAGGTGAGCGCCCAGCTGCCCTGACCCTGAGCCCAGCCCCCCCGGGGGGGCACCCAGCACACCCCTACCCCCCACTAAGCACGCTCTGCCCGCGCAGGGAGCAGCCCATCTTCAGCACTCGGGCACACGTGTTCCAGATCGACCCGGCCACCAAGCGGAACTGGATTCCCGCGGGCAAGCATGCGCTCACCGTGTCCTACTTCTACGATGCCACCCGAAACGTCTACCGGATCATTAGCATCGGAGGCGCCAAGGTGGGGGGTGTGGTCCTGGGGCTGGTCCCCCCACCTTGCCGTGTGCCGCGGGGCATGGGAACCCCCCCCACTGACCCCTGCGAGGTCAAATGGGGGAGAGTTTTCAAGGTCACCATTGCTAGCGCCTGTCAACTTTGCCCCCACCCCACCCCCAGGCCGTCATCAACAGCACCGTCACCCCCAACATGACCTTCACCAAAACCTCGCAGAAGTTCGGGCAGTGGGCGGACAGCCGCGCCAACACCGTCTACGGCCTCGGCTTTGCCTCGGAGCAACATCTAACCCAGGTGCGCCTGGGCCTCTGTTTTCCCAGGCTGCAGAATGGGCGCGCAGAATGAGTCGAGTCCGGTTCCCCTAGTTCAAGCGCCCGTCCTGCTGGCTCCTTGCGCCTACGCTGGACTCTCCCTGCTTCTCTTTGGGGACTGATGCTCATGGTTGCTGTGCGGGACCCTCGGGCTGTCTCCGTGCACCAGCCAAGGGACACGGAGAGAGTCTTCCATCCGCTGGTTCTCTCCCACACGGCTGCGGCAGCCCGACAGAGCCGGGCCAGGCTAAAGCCAGGAGCCAGGAGCTCCATCCGGGTCTCTCGCGCAGGTGCAGGGGCCGCAGCACTTGGGCCATCCTCCTCTGCTCTCCCAGGCGCATGCGCCGGGAGCTGGCTGGGACCCAGCGCTCTGACGTGGGGGGAGGGGCGCAGGGGTCCCACGCGGTGGCCTCCGTCCGTCCTGTCCGTCCTGTCCGCGCCCTGCTCCGGCCGGGAAGATGGGGTCCCCGGCTTCCTCCCAGAGCCTGGCCCGCCACCAGACGCAGGTCTTTGATTTCTGGGAGTCACACAGGGGTCAAAGGTCATCTGCCCCTCCCCCAAGAGCGGTCCACGGTTTGGGGGCTGCTTGTGCTAAAGATCATTACTCCCCAGGGGGCTGTTCATGGTCCCGGGGTTTTTTTGCACAAACACCTGGCTGTGTGCTTGTTACTATTTTCTCTTAAAAATTATTTTTCTACTAAGGATTTTTTACGCAGCCTACCCTTCCTGGAACACAGGTATTGCTTGCATTAGGTTGGAGTTCAGTGTGGATTCTTAGTACCGGAAAACAAGAACCGGACAGCTGCCTTCTTACTGAGTGCAGATGCGGCTCGGAGCACCCCCCCGCCCGCTGCACCCCCAGACCCCCACTCTCTGTTATGAAGGGCGGGGGCCCCTGCCCGCGGCGCCGGCATCCCCCATGGTCGCAGGTTCGAGTCCCGGCCGCTCCACTTCCGATCCAGCTCTCTGCTGTGGCCTGGGAAGGCAGTGGACGATGGCCCAAGGACTTGGGCCCCACGTGGGGGTCCTGGTGCAGCCGTGGCTGTGGTGGGCATTTGGGGAGCGAACCAGTGGATGGAAGACCCCTCTCTCTCTCTCTCCCCCCTTCCCAGCGCTCCCACCGTGGCTGGGGGTATTAATGCCACCTCCGTGAACTCCCCACCCGCCCACTCTGCTCGTGGGGACATCATTCTCCAAGCCTGCCCCCCCTGCTTCCTGTTTGTGGGCTCAGGGGGTGCGCAGCCCCCTCCCACAGCGGCAGAGCCGTGGGGGTGGGGGTGATGTGCTGTGGAGGGGGGCGCTGGGGGTCCCGCTGACGCCTGCCCCTCCCCTCCTCCCTCCAGTTTGCTGAGAAGTTCCAGGAAGTGAAGGAAGCGGCCAGGCTGGCTCGGGAGAAGTCCCAGGACGGCGGGACCGAGCTCACGAGCCCGGCGCTGGGTCTGGTCTCCCACCAGGTCAGCCGGGCACCCGACCGCACTGGGCTCGAACACAACCCAGAGCTGTGGGGGGCGTGGTCACCAGCCCCGGTGCCCAGCTGGGGTCTGCACCTGCAGGGTCGGGTGAAAGGGGAAGCCGGCAGGGTGGGGGGCCCAGGGAGCCACGGAAATCAGTCGAGGAAGGGAGGGGAGGGCCTGCCCGGTGACACCCGCTTGGACACGTCCCTGATGGACGCCGCCGCCCACCCGCAGGTGCCTCCCAGCCCGCTGGTCAGCGCCAATGGCCCCGGCGAGGAGAAGCTGTTCCGCAGCCAGAGCGCCGACGCCCCCGGCCCCACCGAGCGGGAGCGGCTCAAGAAGATGCTGTCCGAGGGGTGAGGGGCGGCGGGGAGGAGGGGGCGGCGCCTGGCAGGCGGGGCCGGCCCCGCCCCTCACCTTGGAGGGGATCGCTGGCCCTGCCCCTCCCACGCCGCCCCCAGACTCAGGGAACCCAGCGACACCGCCTCGCGCCCTACCCTGGCTACGCCCACCAGTGCCCGCCCCCAAACCAGGCCCCGCCCCTCCACAGCGCTGTAGTGCCGCGCGCCCGCCCTTAGCCAGCTCACTACGGCGTGCCCGCCCCAGCAGGCCCCGCCCACAGTACCGCCCCCTAACCAGGCCACGCCCCCAGCTCGCTCCGTACTGCAGCGCGCCCGCCCCCACCCAGGCCACGCCCATTAGCCCGCGCGCGCTCCCGCTCGCCCGCCCTCGGCCCCGCCCCGCCCCGCCCCCTGCCGACCCTGGCGTCTCCGCAGCTCGGTGGGCGAGGTGCAGTGGGAGGCCGAGTTCTTCGCGCTGCAGGACAGCAACAACAAGCTGGCCGGCGCCCTGCGAGAGGCCAACGCCGCCGCCGCGCAGTGGAGGCAGCAGCTGGAGGCCCAGCGTGCGGAGGCCGAGCGGCTGCGGCAGCGGGTGCGGGCGCCCCTCCCTCCCGGAGCCCCCGGCTGGCCCTGGAGACTGTGCGGAGACCCCCCCACACACCCCCAGCACCGCAACCCCCGCGTTCGCGCGCGAACCGTGTGTCCTGGGCCCACAGTCCGTTACCCGAGCCTCAGTGTGTTGCTCTGTAAAACGGGTCTGAGACCACCAACCTCAGGGGGGGTCCTTGTACCCGAAAAGTCCCAGCTCCCCAGAGGCGCCCGCGGCGGCCCCGGCCAAGGTCGTGAGCCCCCATGGTGGGCGTGCAGAGCCCGGGGCCGGGGGCTTCGGGGAGCTCGGGCTAAGGGGCGGGGGTCTCGCTTCCTGTCTCCCAGGTGGCTGAGCTGGAGGCCCAGGCTGCTGCCGAGGCCACGGCAGTCAGCGAGAAGGAAGGGCAGGGCCAGTCGCTGGAGCAGCTGGAAGCCCTGGTGCAGACCAAGGACCAGGTCGGCGAGGACACGCCCCCCGGGGGGCTCCCCTCCCGCGGGGCGGGGGCGCTGGGACCCCCGGGCAGGGCCCGATGAGCGCTGTCTTCCAGGAGATCCAAACGCTGAAGAGCCAGACGGCCGGGCCGCAGGAGGCGGCGGACGCTGGGCAGCGCGAGGAGACCCAGCAGAAGGTGCAGGTGCGGGAGCGCCCCGCATGGCTGCCCTGGGGGCCTGCGCTCACCCTCTGTCTCAAGTCACGGAGCCTACGGGTTTTTTTTTTTAAGATTATTTCGAAGGCAGAGTTACACAGAGAGGTCTTCCATCCGCTGGGTCACTCCCCAAATGGCCTCAATGGCCAGAGCCAGGGGCTCCCCCCAGGTCTCCCATGCAGGTGCAGGGCCCCAAGCACTCGGGCCACCTTCTACTGCTTTCCCAGGCTCACTAGCAGGGAGCTGGAAGTGGAGCAGCCGGGACTCGAACCGGCGCCCCTGTGGGATGCCGGCACTGCGGGCCCCGGAGCCTGCCTTTTAATCCGGCTGCTGGCTGGCTTGGCTTTCCCGGGAGGATTTTTCTGACAAACAGGGGCGCTTCCTGTGGGGTCCAGCGCGTGGAGTTTCCCGCCCCCGCCCCAAGAACAGCAGAGCTGGGGGGGCAGGGTGCTCCCTGGGTTTCCGGGGCAGAAAGCCCTGGGGTGGAGGCCGGTGAGGCTGGAATGGGGGGGTGGGGGCGGGTCTGGGGCAGAGCCCAGGGACAGGGCGGCGGGGGTGGGGGGGTCACAGCCATGGCACTCAGGTGCTCCTGCCTGCCCTCCCCCCGCCCCCCCCCCCCCGCAGGACCTGGAGACACGCAACGCGGAACTGGAGCAGCAGCTGCGGGCCACGGAGCGCAGCCTGGAGGAGGCGCGCGCCGAGCGGGAGCGGGCGCGGGCCGAGGTGGGCCGGGCCGCGCAGCTGCTGGACGTGCGGCTGTTCGAGCTGAGCGAGCTGCGGGAGGGCCTGGCCCGCCTGGCGGAGGCCGCGCCCTGAGCTGGGGGCGCCCTCGGCGGGGGTCCGGGGGGGGGGGCTGCCCGCCGGCTGGGTCCCCGCCTGGGGCACACGGGCCTGGCCGCCCTGGCAGGGACCAGGGGCCGTCCGAGCTTCTCCGTTGTGTAGAAATTTCTAGACTCCCCGGGCCACGTGCTGGGGTCGATTACATTTCTAAGCAAGGCTTCGTGCTGTGGTGTGTGGGGGACCCACGGGGTGCGTCCGGGTGGTTCTGTGTCCGCGTGGCCATCGGGAGCCACGGGCCTGGCCGGCTCCCCGTCCCCGTCCGGCCGTCGCGGGGCCGAGGTGGCCCGGCCGCGTCCACCCGGGCCCGGGGCCTGCAGCCGCAGTGGCCGGGGTCGCATCCTCCTCCCCCGAGGGCCACACCGTGTAAGTCAAAAGCCCCATTTATTGAGCACCGCCTGTATACCAGGCACCTCTGAGCGGGGCGGCCGGGACTGGCGTTCGGTCCCGCGGAGCTGAGTGTCCGGATTCCCGAGGGGGCCGCGCGGGGGCGCCGGCGGGGCCTCAGGCCAGGGCCTTGCGCTTCCGCCGCTCCAGCGTGCGCGCCACCTGCTCCCGGAAGCGCCGGTTCTTCTGCCGGATCTTGGCCAGCTCGGCCTTGCGCTTGGCCTCCAGGTCCGGGTCCTGCCGTGGGGGGGGCACGCGGAGGCGGCGGCTGAGCGGGGGCGCCGGCCGCGCGCAGGGACCGGCCCCCCACCCGCCCAGCCTGTGCGCAGGCGCAGTCGGGCCGCACCTTGCCCTCCAGGATCAGCTGCTTCCGTTTGTTGATCTCCTTCTTCTCGTCAAAGTGGGCGGCGTCCAGCTTCTGCGGGGCGGGGCGAGGGGCGGGGTTAGGGGCCTCTGTTTCATGGGGGGGGGGCGGGGAGCCACCCGCCCTGCGCGCCCCGCGCGCCCCGCGGCCCGCACTCACGATCTCACACTCCCGCCGCACCACGTTGACCTGCGTGAGAATCTGCAGCACCTTGGCCTCCTCCACCGGGAAGTCCTCCAGCTTCTTTTCTGTGGGGCGTGGGCGGGGGGTGGGGCGTCAGCTGGGTCCCCGGCACCCACAGGGGAGACCCGGATGGAGCTCCTGGCTCCAGTCAGGCCCAGTCCTGGCTGTTGCGGGCATTTGGGGAGTGGACCCGCAGAGACACAGAGACGGGGCCTGCCGTGTGCTGGGTCGCTCCCCAGGGCCCACAGCGGCTGCAGCTGGGCTGAGGACAAAGCCAGGGGCTCCATCCGGGTCTCCCACGTGGGTGCAGGGGCCCAAGGACTGGAGCCCTCCCAGGGTGCGCGTGCGAGGGAGCCGGAGCCAGGACGCGAACCCAGGCGCTGGGCTTCTGGACACGGGCGCCTCAACTGCTGGGCTAAACCCACTTGTCCGTTAACTCCTCTTCCTCAGTGCCCCCCCAGGACCCTTGTCTTGGAAGGACTGCGCTCCCCAGGGGAGATGTGTCCGGGTTCTAGCAGGGCCTGGGGTCCCGGGGCTCCGCCCACGCCCACTCCCGCCCACACCCTGGGGCTCCACCCGCCCACTCACTGATCTGCTCCTCGATGGCGTGCACCAGGTGGATGTCGTATTGTGTCACCAGCGTGATGGCCTGTCCCTGCCGCCCTGGGAGGCACACGGCGGTCAGCGGCCCCCGGGGGCTGGGCTGGTTTCCCTTTTTAGCTTGGCTGCTGGGGACCTCAGGCTAAGCCTACCAGTGATCTGCCCCGGCCCAGATCCCCTCACCCCCGGTTTCTCTGCCCCCCGTTTCTGGGACGGTGACCCATCAGGGGCCCCGGGAGCAGGTGGGATGTCCCCAGGGCCACGGGGTCAGGGTGCAAGGGTCTGAGCCCCAGGCACCCCCGTCCCTCCGGCTCCAGGCATGAAAGAATCCCATGGACACCATGGCCCGGGCCAGGGTCAAGGCGAGGGGCTGAACTCGGTCCCCGAGGCCACAGGGGCGGCTTCCCATCTGCCCCTGAGCCCAGGCCGGCAGCCCTGAGGGGAGGCAACAGGGAGCGGTGGGGACTGGGGCAGGGACAGCCGCCTGCAGGCAGACCGCCCAGCCCTTGCTCCTGGAAGGAAGAGCCCCCGCCCCCGGGATTTGAGCGCTGCCTCCCCCCTTGTCCGGCGGCGGGGGCGGGGCCGCCCTCACCTGCGCGGGCCGTCCGGCCTACTCGGTGGATGTAGATCTTGGGCAGCCCGGGCGTGTTGTGGTTGATGACCACCTGCACGGCGGGGATGTCCAGGCCCCTGCAGGCAGAGGTCGCTCAGTGCCTCCGGGCAGGCGGGGAAACCGAGGCAGGCTGGAAGCCGCCCACGGCCGCGGCGGAGGGACCCCCCCCCCCCCGGGGGGCCGCTCACCGCGAGGCCACGTCCGTGGCGATCAGGATCCGGTAGATGCTGGACTTGAACTTGGCCAGTGCAGCAAAGCGCTCCTTCTGCTCCGGGTCGGGGAGAGGGGTCAGGAGTGGGTGGGGGGCAGGGCCCCCGCGGGAGAGGCGGGGGCAGGGAGCGACAGGGCGGGGGCGGAGGCGGGGCGCGGGGCGCAGGGCGCGCGGCCGAGAGCAGGCGGCAGGGGGCGCTGCGGGGCCGGCTCACCTGCTTCATCATGGAGTGCAGCGCCACGGCGGGGAAGTTGAACTTACGCAGCATCATGCACAGGATCTGACAGGTCCTGGGGGGACGCGGGCCGCCCTCAGCCCCTGGGAGGGGGACCACGGCTGCTCCCGCCCGCCGCCCCGCCCCGCACCAGCCGGGGAACCACGGCTGCTGCCGCCCCGCCGCCCCGCCCTGCACCAGCGGGGAACCATGGCTGCTCCCGCCCCGCCCAGCACCAGCGGGGAACCACGGCTGCTCCCCACCCCAGCTCCCACGCCCCCCGGCTCCCACACCCCCCGGCTGCTCCGCCCCCCAGCTCCCACGCCCCCCGGCTCCCACACCCCCCCCGCTGCTCCGCCCCCCGGCTGCTCCGCCCCCCAGCTCCCACGCCCCCCGGCTCCCACACCCCCCCGGCTGCTCCGCCCCCCAGCTCCCACACCCCCCCCCGCTGCTCCGCCCCCCAGCTCCCACGCCCCCCGGCTGCTCCGCCCCCAGCTCCCACGCCCCCCGGCTCCCACACCCCCCCGGCTGCTCCGCCCCCCAGCTCCCACGCCCCCCGGCTGCTCCGCCCCCAGCTCCCACGCCCCCCGGCTCCCACAACCCCCGGCTGCTCCGCCCCCAGCTCCCACGCCCCCCGGCTCCCACACCCCCCGGCTGCTCTGCCCCCCAGCTCCCACGCCCCCCCGGCTGCTCTGCCCCCCAGGCCCCCCCCTCACTTGCACGTGTTGGTGAAGACGATGATGGCCCAGTCCTCGTGCTCGTCCTGGAAGCCCTGCACCAGGTGCACCAAGTACGCGTCCTTGACCCGCTCCGGCACCAGCAGGTAGCGCTGGTCCAGCTGCTCCACCGTGCGCACCCTGGGGCGGGGCGGGGGGAGACGGACGGGACCCCCGGGAGCTGCAGCGCGGTGGGCGCGGGGCGCCCTCACCCCCAGGCCCCGCCCCGCCCGGCGGCGGCCGGCACTCACGGCGCCTGCGCCTCCCAGAAGAAGGGCTGGTTGGTGGCCAGGCCCTGCAGCTCCCGGAGCGTGTCGGTGAGCGTGGCGCTGAACAGCAGCGTCTGCCTGCGCGCCGGCACGGCCGCCAGCACGGTCTCCAGGTCCGCGGTGAAGTCGGTGCAGCCCTGCTCCAGCAGCCGGTCGGCCTCGTCCATCACCTGCCGGGGCGGGGGTCGGCGCTGACCGCGGCTCCCTCCGGCTCTCCTCCGTGAGGCCCTTCCTGCCCCCGGCAGCCCCCCACCCCGCCCGCCCCTGCAGGTGCGCGCGCGCGCAGGCGCAGACCGGCTCACCAGGAAGCGGATCTTCTTTATGCTGAAGGTGTTGGAGCTGCGCAGGTGGTCGGCCAGGCGCCCCGGCGTGGCGATGACCACGTGCGGTTTCCGGGCGAGCTCCAGCGCCTGGGCCACCATGTCTGGGGGCAGGGAGCGAGGGGCGGGGCTGGGCGGGGCGCGCGAGGCGCAGGGCCCCCCAGGCCCGCCGGGGCCGCCTTCCCGCACCTCCCAGGACCCCCACCCCCACCCCCGTACCCATGCCGCCCACGATGATGCAGTCTTTCAGGCCCAGAGGCTTCCCCAGCACCCGGAACTGCTCGGCGATCTGGTAGGCCAGCTCCCTGCGGGCATGGAGGGGGTCATGGAGCCGCCCCCCGCCCCCCGGGCTTGCTCTTCCAGCCGCCCCTCGCCCACCGGCCCCACCCAAGCCGGCCTCGCCTCCCCCCCCCCCATCCACGTCTCAGCAGTGACCTCGGCGCCCCGCGGGGCACGGAAGCCCGGCGCAGGGCATCGCCCAGGTCTCCAGGTCCCCTCCCCCCTGGCCCCGCCCACGACCCCTTCCCCCAACTTTGTCCCTTGTTTTTGCCGGTTCGAGTCCCGGCTGCCCCACTTCCAGTCCGGCAAAGCAGCGGGAGGTGGGCCCGGGGTGCTTGGGCCCCTGCACCCACACGGGAGAGCTGGGTGGACGTCCCGGGGGCAGGCTCACCTGGTGGGCGTCAGGACCAGGCAGAAGATGCCATAGGGGTCCTCGGACAACTTTTGCAACACGGGCAGGACAAAGGCCGCCGTCTTGCCGCTGCCCGTCTTGGCGCAGCCCAAGCAGTCCCGACCTGGGAGAGGGCGAGGCGGCGTCAGGGCGGTGGGAGGGTGGGGCGCCGCCCACAGCTAAGAGGACCGGGCGGCCCCTCCCCTGCCTTTTCCATTCCCGCGGCGGGGAACCGACAAACCTAGAAGGCAGGGGATGCTCGGACCCGTTCAACAGAAGGGCAGTTTTCCGGGAAGCAGCGGCTTGGACTGGCACCTGGGCTGAGCTTCGGGAATCCAGAATCTTCCCCCACCCCGACCTGCCCCAATTCCAGCCCCTGGATACCCGATGTAGCCACTCCCTCAACCTGCGCGCCCCTGCGGAACGGCACAGCTGGGCCGGGTCAGAGGCGCGCTCGCGGGGGCGCAGCCCGAGGTGGCCCCGGGATTCGGACAGCCTCAGTGCCCCTCTGTCGAAGGCGACAATGCCAGTGCTGCCGGGCCCACGCCATCGATCGCGCCCGCCCCGCGCTCCGATTCCAAAGCGAGTCAGTCATGCGTGCGGCCTAGGTGCCGGCACCGACCCGGGCTCGCCAGTACCGACCAAGGCTGGCCCCCAGCCCCCTGGCACCTGCCTGGCTGCGCAGAGGCAGCGAGGCGCATCTGGGGCCGCCTCCGGGGGAAGCCGCACTCACCCTCCAGGATGGCGGGGATGCAGCCGAGCTGCACGGGCGTGGGCTGCTTCAAACCCAGCTGCCGACACTGTTCCACGAGCCACGATGACAGCCCGAGCTCCGAAAAGCCAGCCATCCTCGCAGGCGGCCACGGGGGCCGAGGTAAGTCGCGCTTCCGGCGCGCTCCGATGACGTCGCGAAGCGCCCTTCGGTTCCCAGCCTCGAACACAACCTCCTCCACGTCCCCGGATCCCGTTTGCTCACGGAAAAAGAGTCAAACTACAACTCCCGAAATGCTCTGCGAGACGCAGGAGTGCGTTCTCCATAGGGCTCTCCCATTGGCTCGGGACGTGGAAACTACATTTCCCAGCGTGCTCCGCAGCGGGCCCTACTTCCGGCCGACGTGTCTTCCCGGAAGAAGAGCGGGTGAGAGGACCGCGACATGGCGCCCCCGGCTCCCGGCCCGTCCCCCGGCGGCTCCGGGGAGGTGGACGAGCTGTTCGACGTGAAGAACGCCTTCTACATCGGCAGCTACCAGCAGTGCATCAACGAGGCGCAGCGGGTGAAGGTGCGGGGGCGCGGGGCCGGCCGCGGGCTGCGCCCTCTTTGCCCTCGGAACTTTGCGTTTTCTCCTCGCCTCCTCGACGTCCTGTGTCCACGCGCGTCGTCCGAGCGCGCGGGCCCGCAGTCAGAGCCGTGACAGCTGTGGTGTCGCCCGCTCACGCTGGGGGGCGCTCGCGGCGCGCCTGGAGGGCCGGGCGAGCCGGACAGGCGGGCACCGGTCAGGAGGCAGCCCGGCGCGGCAGGTGCACCCAGCAGGGCGCCGGGGGCCGAGAGGGGCTGTTGCTTCCAGGGTCTGCTTTCTTCTAATTTTTTTTTTCGATGATTTTACGTTTTGGGCGTGGAGTTGAGGCGCCGCGGGACATCCCACGGGAGCGCGGGTCCGATCCGGCTCCCTGCTGTGGCCTGGGACTTGTGCTCGGGCCCCGTTTATTGGTCTCCATCCACTTGGAAGCGAGCGAGAAAGAGAGAGCTGTCGGCTTTTTCACTCCCCAGATGGCCGCGATGGCCAGGCCACAGCCAGGAGCCGGAAGCTCCATCGGGGTCTCCCACGTGGGCGGCAGGGGCCCAGGGGCTTGGGCCATCGTCCACTGCCTTCCCAGGGAGCTGGCTCGGAGTCCGCGCAGCCGGGGCTGTACCCAGCGCGGGGCACGGGCGTCACAGTCACCAGGGGCGGCTCAGCCACAGCGCCAGGCCCCTGAAGCCCCCCGTGTGTGCCATCGCCGAGCGGGCATTGGGGTCACCCCAGGTCTGGCCCCTTCCACACCCCTCACCCCCGCAGAGGCTCTCTGGGGCCTCCGGGAGCTGGAGCCAGGGCCGGGCTCAGCCCTGACCCTCCTGGGGGGCCGGGGGCTGTGGTGTGGCTGTGCGTGCTGACCCGCCCTCGTCCCCACAGCTGTCCAGCCCAGAGCGAGACGTGGAGAGAGACGTCTTCCTGTACCGAGCGTACCTGGCCCAGGTGAGTGTGGCCCAGGACGAAGGCCAGCTGGGCATAGGAGAGCGAGAAACAGTGCCGGCCCGGGGCCCGGGGTCAGGCCGGAGCGGTCACGGCTGCCGCGGGGAAACGCAGCAGGTGGGGCACGTGGCCCGTGCACGCGCCTGCTGCCGCCCGCCCCTGCACCCGCCTGCTGCCGCCCCGGCGCCGGGACCCGCCCAGCATCCGGCCCGAGTGGCTCCCCGGCTCCGCCTTCCGGGGCCTGGGCACCCGGGTCCCGCAGGGTTCGCGTCCGCGGCGGGGGACGCCTGGACCGCCCGCAGGAGGGGCGCAGCGTGTTCACGCACGTACACGAGTGTGTCCTGGGCCCGCGTGAGCGCGCCTGTGTCCATGTCCCGGCCCCAGGTGTCGCAGCCCTGCTCCCGACTCCGGGGGCAGCGCTGACGGCTGAGTGATGGGGTCCCTGCTGCCGCCACCGCGTGGGAGACCCGGGTGGGGCTCCCGGCTCCCGGCTGGGGACCGTGGCCGGCACGGGGGGGGGGGGGGGACGAACCAGTGGACGGGGCCTTCCTTGTTCTCTGTGTCTCAAAAGAATGTGTAAGACTTTTTAGAATCATGTTCAAAAACTTTTTAAAAAGATTTTTATTTGAGAGACACAGTTACGGGGGGGCAGGGAGAGAGAGAGAGAGAGAGAGAGGGAGGTCTTCCGTCTGCTGGGTCACTCCCCAGATGGCCGCAATGGCCGGAGCTGTGCCGATCCAAAGCCAGGAGCCAGGAGCTCCATCCGGGTCTCCCACGCAGGTGCAGGGGCACAAGCACTTGGGCCATCCTCCACTGCTTTCCCAGGCCACAGCAGAGAGCTGGATGGGAAGTGGAGCAGCTGGGTCTCGAACCGGCGCCCATATGGTTTGCTGGTACTGCAGGCAGAGGCTTAGCCAGCTATGCCACTGTTCCAGCTCCTAAAAATATTTTAAAATTATGCTTAAAAAAGAAGCCGTCTAGGAAGGAAGGAAGGAAGGGAGGTCAGAGACGGACGGCCCCTCAGAAGGGACCGCCGGCCTGGGGCTGGGTGGGGTGCGCCTTGTACAAGACCCGGCCCCTCCCTGCCTCCCCCGGGGACACGCCCACCTCCACCTGTCGCCTCCCCACCGGGGGTGGACGGCTGGGCAGGGATAGTGACCCCCAGGGCCTCCAGCTAGCAGTGCACGGTGTGGGCAGCAGGGGAGGGCGCACATGGCTACGACCCCGGGACATGTGGCCCCGGGGTGGGGGTGCAGGGCCGCCCTGTCCGGGGGCCGCTGACCCGTGTCTGTCCCGCCCGCAGCGGAAGTTCGGCGTGGTCCTGGATGAGATCAAGCCCTCATCGGCCCCCGAGCTCCAAGCCGTGCGCATGTTCGCCGAGTACCTGGCCAGTGAGAGCCGGCGGTGAGGCTGGGGCGGTGGGGGGTGGGCCTGCTGCTCTGCAACTGGGCACGCGGCGGGGCCCTGCCGCTCACCTCCCTGTGCCTCGGTTTCCCTCAGCTGCCCGGGGCAGCAGTGGCCCTGTGGGGAGGGTCAGAGGCGACGAGGTTGGTGCGGGTGTCTCGGCCGCGAGGCGCCCCGACCCTACTTCCGAGCACATGGGTTGTGTTCAATGCTCAGAGAGCCTCCTGGGGCCAGGCCCAGGCCTCGGGCAGCCCCTGCTGGCCAGTGCCCACTCTGCACCCCAGGGAGGCCTGGGGAGGTGGGGGGCGCTGTGGGAGCCCTCCTGCTGCCCAGGGAGCCACCACGCCCCAGGAAGACACGGCCCAGTGCTTTCCCGGGCACCTGGGGACACGGTGCCGTCTGCACACGGAAGCAGATGACGTCCTGGGATTAGGGCAGCCCGGGAGCCTCCAGAACCGTGCCTGCCTGCGCCCTGGCTTCAGGCTCCCCGTGCCCGGCCCTGTGAGGCCCGTTCCCGTGGCTCCAGGAGCCAGCCGCTCTGCTCGTGCCGGCGGCCCTGACACCGCATGTCCCCGTCTACACCGCCCGTGCAGGCGGGGAGCCCGGGCCTTCCAGGAGCGGTGGCTGCCGGGAACTCCACGTAGCAGGAGGCCCAGGGCAGGCCTCCGTGACGCTGGGCGGCTCTCGGCGTGGCAGCCGGCAGCTTTTGCCAAGTGCCAGCAAGTGCAGGAAGCTGCCTGAGACGGTGACGGGCGTGTCCCCGCGCCCCGTGTTGACACGCTGCGAGAGTCGCGTGGAGCCCGGGGGGGCGGCGGGTTCGGTCTGCGGTGACGCCAGGCCTGGCCTCGTGCCTGGCTGCTCACCAGCCCTTGGAGCGCAGTGGCCCGAGCGCTGTTTGCCCGCTCCTTGTGTCCCCAGTAGGGCGGTCTGGCCTGAGCACAGGAGGCGCCAGGAGGGCCCCGGGGCAGGCGGCGTGGCCCGGCCGCCATCCTGGGCCTGCCTGCTCCCGCGGGCTGGGTCGCACAGGCCCTGAGCAGCCGTGTCTTACAGGGACGCCATCGTGGCCGAGCTGGACCGCGAGATGAGCAGGAGCGTGGACGTGACCAACACCACCTTCCTGCTCATGGCCGCCTCGGTCTACTTCCACGACCAGAACCCCGACGCCGCCCTGCGCGCCCTGCACCAGGGGGACAGCCTGGAGTGGTGAGTGGCGGAGCCCGGCTCACGGCTCCGGGGACGCACGAGGCGGGCGCTCGGCGGCCTGGGCCGTCCAGGCTGCACAGCCGTCGTCATGGGAACAGGTGAATGCGGCAGCTCCCAGAGCACGCCGGGCCCAGGCCGCCTATTCAGGCCCCGGCTCCATTCTCAGTCTGGAGGCGCTGCCGCCGGCAGGCCCGGCCTCTGTGCCAAGGACACGGCGCCCTCTGTTCCCGGGCGGAGCAGAAAGCACCTCTGTGTCTGCCCCCGGGGCCCGCCCCCACACTGGCTCTCCCCCAGGGCCCCGTGCTGGCGTTGCTGGGCCTGCCCCGCGTCAGGGCAGGTTCGGCCTTCCGTGAGAGCCTGCCTTCCCGGGCCAGCCCCGGCACGGCGGGCACGCGTCAGTTCACACCTGCTGTGTGCCGCCTCGGGCTCGGGAGGTGCCCGGCTGACAGCTGTCCGCCCCCTGCTCTGGCTCCTGCTATGGCTGGAAAACCCCGGGACAGGCAACCCCTTCAGGAGCGGGTGGTCAGCATCGGGGCCCAGAGGGGCCCTGGCGTGGGTGGGGGAGCGCCATCCTGAGACCTGCCACTGCCTGGGGAGAGGCCAGCGCGGGTCTGTGCGAGCATGGCCGTCCGAGGCGACCTCAGAAGGCCTGGGAACGTTCCGGAAGGTGCTGTGCACCGGGGCCGAGCCCCTGCTTGGGGCGGGGCCGCGTGTCTGGCTGGCTGCTGACCGCGCGCCTTGTCCTCAGCATGGCCATGACGGTGCAGATCCTGCTGAAGCTGGACCGCCTGGACCTCGCCCGGTGAGCCACGTGTGACCCGCCACGCAGGCAGTGAGCCACGTGTGACCCGCCATGCAAGACCCCACGTGTGGCCCGCCACGCAGCCCACAGCCTCGGCCGCCCGATCGCCTGTCCTGTCTTCCCCACCCGTCGGGGTCCCGCTGTCCCTCGCCCCTCCTGTGGAGGGGCCCGTCCTGCAGGGGCAGGGTGGCTTCCTGCAGGGACGGGGGGGGGGGGCTGGGCCCCTCAGCCGCTCAGCGCCGCCCCCCCCCCCCAGGAAGGAGCTGAAGCGCATGCAGGACCAGGACGAGGACGCCAC